TTTAGCAGATGATGATTATGTATATTAAGGTTTAAGAACATTTGATACCATTTAATCTGAGACCTAAAGTATGATCAGGAACTATTTAGATAGTGAAAGGGCAGGAAAAAAAAAGTTATTTGCCAATGGCCTAGGTAGGTACAATGACAAAGACTAAGCAAGGAGGCATTTGATATGTTTAAAGAAGTTCAGTAGAAAAAGAGTCTAGGGCAGTATGAGAAGGCAGTGAAGAGGGAAAGGCAGGGCTGGCTCATTCTGTAACCTCCCTCTTCCATATTACCTCAAGAATAATATAAGAGGACTCAGCTTTAAACAGGAAGGAAATCCTGACACATCCTACAGCACAGATTTACACTGCAGAAAACACGCTAAATGAAATATGCCAGACACAAAAAGACAAATACCGTAGGATTCCACTCATATGAGGTATCCAAAGTACTCAAATTCATAGAGACAGAAAGAATGGCAGTCTCCAAGGGCTATAAGAAGGGGGCAATGGAGACATATGTTTAATAGGTATACAGTTTCAGTTTTGCAAGAAAAAAAGAGTTGCAGAACAATGTGAATATACTGAACTACATTACTGAACTACAAACTTTAAAAACAGTTAATGTGGTAAATTTAATGTTATGTGTATTTTAGTTCAATTAAAAATAATAATAAGTCAAGTGCAGTGGCACATACGTGTAATCCCAGTGGCTTGGGAGGCTGAGGCAGGAGGATAGTAAGTTCAAAGCCAGCCTCAGCAAAAGTGAGACACGAAACAACTCAGTGAGACCCTGTCTCTAAATACAATACAAAATAGGACTGGGGATGTGGAATAGTAATAATAATAATAATAATAATAGATGAGATCAAGAGTCCTAAGTTGATATTTGACCTTGATTAGTGCTTTACTCTTTTTCACTGACACTGAATTCCCCGAGTTCTAGAAACAAAAGCAACCATTCCCTTCTGGACAATCAATGCACTATAATTATGAGCTCATTCTTCCTTTTGTTTAAAAAAAAAACACCAAAGTTGTAAAAGTTTTCCACACTGGAGAAAAAAGAAAGAGAAGAGAGAAAATAGAATAAATTAGCACTTAACTATATAAGAAATAGCAAACTGTCTCATGAAAAAAATTAATGAAACACCTCAGTTTTGGCTACAGATCATAAAATATCTGAAGAGAACAGTTAGCCCTGAAAAGTTTTTGCTTCAAAATCTTTTTCTTATAAAGGGCTTGATGAACTTTTTCACAAAATAGTAATCTTGAAGTTAATAAATAGTCTCATTTTGGAGCAATGTAACTCAGTAGTTCCCAAATCAAACACTTAGAATCCTCTAAAATTAGAGTGGTCCCACTATAAGTCTATCAGAGCAAATGATCCAGCAGCAAAACAGGAACTATATGTTTTCTTTTATTTTTTAAATATTTATTTTTTAATTATAGATAGAGACAATATCTTCATTTTTATTTTTTTGTGGTGCTGAGGATCAAACCCAGTGCCTCATGCATGGTAGGCAAGCACTCTACCTCTGAGCCACAACCCCAGCCCAATTATATGTTTTCAAAGCCTCCAAGAATATTTTTGTGCATAGCCTATTTGGGGAAATCACTCAAAGTAAAGTCAGTGATGAGCACGGCTTCCTGAGTGCATGTTCTTATCTCTCTCTACCCTTTAATCTCTTTGAAATGATCGAACACAAAAGTATGAAAATGTCCACAGCAGTACTGGAAAATCAAGATGAGTTCTGTTGGTAAACTATACTAAATAATTTCTGGAGAATGTAAAAGCAGATGGAATCAGTAAAACCCCAAATTGCTAAAGAGCCTGTAATGGACATGATTATTACATTATAATTAAGGGTCACTGGCAGAGCCTCAGAACATTCCCTTGATCAGAGATAGCAAGCATTGGGAGCAGATGTGGGTCCACTGTCCAGATAATTATTGAAGGTAACAATTTGCTACCTTTCCTCAGAGTGGCTGACTCCCAAACTGTCTCCAGGTTGAAAATCATAAGAGAAAATGACAGTGTGGTAGGTAAGTTCTGTTGGCCAAGATGAATAAAGGAATCAACTCCCAGAAGGCAAGTCTCTGGGGTACACATATTCTAAAGAGAAGTCTCACTACTGAGTAGACATCCTCCTCCCACCTTTCTCCCTACATCCTCTGCAGACAGAGATTCTGCATTCAGAATTATTTGCATTCTCAAAGATTTTAGAACTTAAGTTGAAAAACAAATCTATCTATTAGTCCCTCATTTATAAATATGAATTGCCAGTCAAAACATTATAGAAATAAAGAACAAACTTTTTTTGTTTGTTTTTAAAATAATATATCACTACAACTAAGTTTAACACTTCATTAATTTTATATATATAAATATATATCATGTATAAACATACAAATGTATATATTAACTGTATTATAATTCTTTATTTGTGTCTCTGTCTTCCTCATTAGATTATGAATGTTCTGAGGATATTTAATCAGAAGCACTGGTTCTATTGAGATACACAGATAGACATGGGCATGTCATTCAGTCTCTAAATGTATCTTGCATGCCTACTGATAGAACTAAGCACATTGTTATAATATCTGTAGGCAAGCATACAAAAGAGGTCTGTCTACCATGCTCACAATGAACTCTCCATTCAGTATAGGTACCTATTCATCCTGTGTTAGAGCACTATAAACTCTATTGGGTGTCATTATATTTCGTGATTTTCTGTATTTTCACAGGGTACCTAATAGTCGATGTGAATGGACCACTGAAAATCCAACAAATTAGTGAAAACCTAGGAAGTTCTAGAATAATTCAGTCAATTTATTTTTGTCCCCCCAAATGGTTACACATTTGGATGTTTTTATTTGTTGGATGCTATCTGAGGGTTCTCTAGAGAAAAATCTTAAAATGTGTTAAGTTTGGGCTTTACTCTGCTGTTTCTACTCTTCTTGACTTATGTTATTTCTGGGCAACTGAACTATAAAACCTGGCAACTCTATTATGCTAGAACCTAATAAGGCAATGGGTCCCTGAAAATACATTACAATTGTCACTCCAGGTTATCTGCTCACTCAGCTATCTGAAATATTTGTGTCTTTAGTAAAGTTATAGAAATATTATCAAGGCTTGCGCTCTCTGATTTTTCCCCTTCAGGCCTAATTTATTCACTATACCATCTCCTGGACCACATGTGTCAGCAGGAAAGAAAAGAAACATACTTTGTCTCAAAAGCAGATCAGCTAGAAACACTAGAAGAAGGTATGAGACTATGCCAAAACATAAAGTAATTAGTAAGAGAAAGAGAGCCTTTAAATTGTTGACTCATTTATGTCTCAATTTCTTAAGAAATCATGCTTTATTTTAAAACTTACAAATATTTAACCCATTAATATTCTTATTTTTTATAGATAGTGTCTTGCTGTGTTGCCTAGGCTATGCTCAGAATTGTGACCTTCCTGCCTCAATCTCCAAAGCTCCTGGGATTATGGGTGTGTACCATCTTGCCTGACAAAAGAAAAAAATATTTATTTATGGTTCTGGGCTTCTACTGCTGGGTAGATAAAACTCCCCTCCGGATTTTGAGAGCTAGAAGTTTAAAAGTGTAGAAGTTCTCTCCTAGAGACTTGGAGCATCATGAACCTATAAACTCAAATTTATATCTCTGTTTAAATTGCTTCCTATATACAAGGCAAAAAGTAAGGTAAGTGATTATTTCTCTCACATCACAGTTGAAGAAATTTAACGGTTTGAAGTACCTTAAAAATATTTTCTCTTCTCTAAAGAGTTGTCAGTGCTTCAGGTAGAAATTCCATAAATGAAAATTGAGTGTTTCTTTCATTCTTTTTATTGAAAAGAAACCCTATCTCGGCAAGAAAATCAAAAGGCAGACAGAATACTGCATTCAATAGAGGCTGAAAACAATATGAAAAGTCTATCAGAAAACTTTTACCATAGAAGAGAAAAAAAAAAGATTAAGGGTATTTTTTGGAAATAATACCTCTACAAAGATCACCAACTTGAGATAATACCTGTCTTTCAGAGATAAAGTGCAGGGAAATGGTTTGTTTTAACACATGGATGATGGATGAGGAAAAAGGTGAACAGAAAAACAAAAACGAAACTACATTAATTTTTAATAACCAGATGCAAAGAATCAGAAAAAGATATACTCTAAACTTTTGTATATTCTAATTTTCCCTCTTATAAAAGCAGGTTTAAAGAACAGCCTTAAAGTGAAACTAAAGAACTGGGGACAGTCATATTAGCCTAGTTCAAACAAAGTAGTTACAGGGAAGAAAAAGATGGAAAGAATTAGGGAAGAAGTAGTGGTCTTTCTGCATTGGAAAATCTTTATGCCTCAGTTTGAGTTTTGAAATTTGCCACATTGACACTGAATAAGATATCATCACAATATAAAGAATGATAATACTTTAAATATCTGAAACACAAAATTTATGCATATATGTATATATACATATATATGTGTGTGTATATATATATATATATGGTATCTCTTAACAGAATAAATTCTAAGTGGAGACACTAAGTTGGAAGGTGGTTATGGCCTAATTAACATGCAGCTCAGTGACAAATATAGCCTGCTTTATCAAAATTGCTTAGTAGCTATAGAAATTATAGATTATAATTTATGAAAGAAATTCTAATTCAACTGACTAATGCAGTGAATGTCAAACAAAGGACAATAAAGTATATATTGAAATTTCCATATACAAATGTTTTACTCAAGAATAACTAACTCTAAGATATAATTAAATAAAAAGCATATGCTATATCAATTTCATCTTTGTAGCAATAGAGGCAATAATATATAAAAGAGCTTCATTTTTCTGCAAAGAACTTTGTCATAAGATTGTCCTATCATTTTCAAATTTAAAATCTTCCTTGTCAATAAAATTCTCCAAGGCATTTACAATTTCAAATTAAAGTGCTCAAACCCACACAATCAAGTTATTAATAAATGACAAGTTGGGAGTTTTCACTTACCTAGATATATTATTGAAGCTGAGAAACAGACGTTGGAGGCAGGGCAAAGTATCCACATCTCTCTAGAAGGAAAGAGAAAGCAAAAATATATAAATTGAAAGAAAAAAACCTATTATAAATGCCTTCTTGCCCAGCTGTTGAAATATATAGTCATTTCTATTTCTTGCAACCTTACTACACCATTGATTTCTACTGGACATTGAGCTCCATTCTTCTCCACTGCAGATTAAATGGGAGGGTTTCAGTACATCCGCAGAACAAGCTGCACCACTCGCAAGGTAAAAAGCACTGAAGAGAACAGAGAGAGAGAGATGCTGCAGCTAGCCTCTTTAAGCATGCTTTTGGGAAAGATGCCAAAATGCTACTTCAGCATTTACTGTAGCACAAACACAGAACGATCAGACATTTGTTAAAAGTCACTTTTAAAGGAAATCATTCAAAGCTTTATATTTTATATTTGTACAATTAGCCTTTCAAACAATAGTAAGAATTTCAGAGCTATTCACCTCATTATCCTTAAACCTTTGGAAATACACCACTCGGTTATAAATGAAACAATACACTGACAATTCCCCCCATAAAACTAAAAGCAGGTCATAGTGTTATTGAAGGGCACTATAAGGTCAATTTCCAATCTAAGCACACATCAAAGGCTCTTGTGGTATGATCAAAAATTTGTTAAAAGCCCATCACTGCCATTTAAATAGTTTCCCTCAGCAAATACTGAAATGCTTGGGCCCAAATAATTTTTAAAAATAAATACAAAATGAATACAAGCAAAACTACCTAATTTCATTAAGCAAAAATACACAAACCTTTGGAAATGAAATGGATACAGTAACAGAATTGTAAAGAGAAAGCTTAGTAATTACCTAATCTAAACCTCATAAATATGAGAAAAAGTGAACAGTTGAGGTTGTTTATAGGAGCAGGAAAAGGCTGAATGTGAAGGTGAAAGCCTCTACTGTCCTAGAGGCTGAGATAGGACAAGATTCCAGTTAACCTCAATTCCAGAGCTCTGATCTTTAGAACACTATAGTGCTACTTATCATATAAAATACATTTCATTTTTAAGGATAGCATCATTTATAATGATTCCTAGTTATATGAGCTATTTAAACTTTTCAGTAGTGGTACGTATACTCTTGTCATCCCAGCCACTCAGGAGGCTAAGGCATGAAGATCATAAATTTGAAACTAGCATTGGAAATTTAACAGGACCCTATTTCAAAATAAAATAAAAAGGACTGGGGATGTAGCTCAGTAATAAAGTGCTTGCCTATCATGGGCAAGGCCCTGGGTTCAATCCCGAATACTAGGGGGGGAGGAAATTGTTTTATAGTTTCCAGAAGTGAATATCTTTCTTCCTCCCTATCATTTCCAAGACCTTAGTAAGAGATTTGGTAAGTGCATTGAAATTATATGAGCTTAATTACCTTTACCCCAAATGCTGCATTTGTTTATTTTTTAAAACTTGTTATACAAAGAAAATATGAAGTGATAGAATTGTGGCACGTTATTTCTTAATGATCACAGAATTTCCCCTAGTGGATAATGGGTTTTACATGTCGGCAAACTTCTTAAATCATTACTTCCAGCAACCTCTCTCTGACATTCCCCAAATGGAGGAGTGAATAGTGGTAGGACTCATTTTTATCCACGGCCCTCTTTCCCACAGAAAATGGCAGCTTCCTTTTTAACTGGTCTCTAGAAATGTGCAAGCCAAACTATAAGCCCTCCCTGTACTCTTGGGAACCTCTTTTCCCAAATTCTTTCTGAAATCTATTCCTGAGCATAAGCACCATTGCTGATACCTAACTGGGAGAAACTGAGAAACTGTAGCCTAGATGTCCTTTGAATCAAGTAATCATTTTTAAAAATTATATTTGTTTCTTTGATCTCTGATATACCTCCTTCAGAGACTATAGACATAATTTTTGCAATTGAATTTTAATCCAAATTATATCTATGATTTGTGAGAAAAGGTTTTTTAAAAAGTTTATTTGATAAAATTATAATGCTTTGAATTTATCTTCATTTACAAAACAAAATGTTATCAGAAGTCCTTATCAAATCTTCAAAATCAATAACTGTCATTACCTGATAGCTATATAAATATTCACAACAAATTGAAAACTAAAAATCAGAATTCAACTATATGTTCCTATAACCACATTTAGTTAGCCTTTCCAGAAATTTAAAAAGCAAACTAATTGCCCATAATTATTTTTCTTGTTAAAAATTTCACTTCTGTGAAGAAAGAGCTTTATTTTTTTTCTAGCAATTCTGAAACAATCTTTTGTTAATGAAATTCTAGAACCATAATAGATAAAAAGAATGCCATATTTATTGCATCAATTATCTATGTATAAGTTCTTTTTAGAAAAAAAAAAAGACTTGCTAAAAACTACTAAAAGATGGGTCCTCTAATATGAGAGAGTAAATCATAGAAGGGGAAAAAAAATGTAAAGTTCAGTCAGTAGGCTTCACCATCCTGGACAGGCAAAGAAAAATCCAAGAATGATGTGTATATGGCAGGCCTGAGAGCCCCCAGTCCACATCAGAGGTAGAGGACATAGGGCTCCAGAGGGAGAACTTCAAATGGGAAAATTTAGACTACCTGATGTCTTTTTCTATACAGAGGGGGATTTTATTATACTGTTAGAAGGGTGGATATTAATCAATGATAGCTAAACAGAATCCTCCATTAATGAGGAACATGAGATATTATTAATCTCAGGGAAAATGAAAGTTTAATACCATGATCTCCACTTTAAAACTTCACCTTGCTGTATTCTCCAATCCTAATCTATATCATAAATTTACCAATTTTAATTAGGCTCTTACATTGAAAGACCCACCCTAAACTAGAATCTCAAGAAATCTCAAAATAAATGTGCTGCCTTTGTCCTCAAAGATATGACTAGATTACACCAAGGATTCTGCTTGAAGCTTGGCTTTATCAATGTTATTCTGGTGGTGAAACTATCATTCTTCAATCTGCTTATCACCAGAATGAAACATAATTATTTTAGGAAGATAGAGAAAGGAGATATGGGGATTAAGGATTATATAAGGAAGCTACATCTTTTTGTCAACATATTTATTTCACCGTCAAGCATTAAACACTCCCAACATCACTTCTTCTCCTTCTTCTTTTTGTAGTTGTAGATAGACAGAATGCCTTTATTTTGTTTATTTTTTTTTTTATGTGGTGCTAAGGATCAAATCCAGTGCTTCACACATGCTAGGCAAGCACTTTGCCACTGTGCCACAATCCCAGACTGCAACATTTCTCTTGTGGAGGTAAATATTTCACAGGCAGAGAAACTACTACAAAACAGTCAAACTGTTAACATCCCTAAGATGAGAAAAAAGAAGATGAAATAAAATGTTTACATATAAGGGAGCATTTATAGGGGAATATTTATAGCTCCTATTATTAATCTTATTAAAATTGTCAATTTTTTTGCATTTAGCAAAAGGATACTGAAAAATCACATTGAAAATATTTTTTGAAGTAAGACTTAGAGCCATTTTATTTATTTTCAAAACATAATCCTTTTAAAAATAGACTTAAATAAAAATTATTTGCTATAAGGTTGTTGAGAAGATTTTAATTCTTTAATTTTCAGGAGAATAATGACTTGCCATCTGAGGAACACGTTTGTCTAGTCTGCTTAGACACTGTTTTCCATATTCCTAAACTTTGTAAATGAACTAAATGACTCAGCAATTTGACCATGTGTGGAACATCTATTACTGGAGCTATTTTTGGAATAGCTCCTGCAGAGTAATATGGAAGAAGCAAGGTGAAAACACATGGGCATACAACAAACAGGATAAAAATGGCTATAAGAAAATCATAAGTAAAAAAATAAAAAAGAAAATCATAAGTACTCTAATTTTTTATACAAAAAAAGACAAGAGTAAAAATACATAGAGATAATTATTTTAATTTTAAGAACCATAAACAGATTCTTAATCTGAAAACAGAAAAAAGTATTCCTTTTCATAAAAAGATTTATTAAATTAATTCCAAGATAACTGCTTGCTCTAGTCATTACTTTGCAACACAAGCACATATGAGATGAAGAATAAAAAGTGTAAGCCATCTTATCAACTATTCTATTCATACATTTAAATGCCAATGAAAAAAAATCCACTGTCTGGCCCTGTTACCCAAAGGTATTAATGGGCTTCTCTGCTTTTTGTGCTTCTCTGCTTTTTGTACTATTACATGGCAGTGCATATCAGTCAACCCAGCTGTATCCTATTCTTCTAATCTGATTTTCTTCTATACATGGTTGTAATCCCTGAAGAAAAATTAAAGGGGAACTAAAAAGAAGACTAGTAAGCAGGCACTGATACACTGAATAGGAAGATTTTCAGTCTTTATAATCTAGGACAGCTAATCTGAACAGTTATGAGAAAAGAGATTTTTTTTAAAAGCCTCAATTTAATAATAATAAGCCTTCTTCACTTGAATTTGTAGTTTGAATTTATATTATGGGAATGATCTAAGAAAATCCCTTACAAAATGATGGAACCCTAGCATTTATGTCTCTAAGACTTCTAGCAAAACTGTTTGGAAAGACACAAACTCAGGTTTTGCAGTCTTCTGACTATCCCAAACTACTGACCTATAAAAAAAATTACCATGAGCAATATTCAGCAGAGATTTTAGGCATCAAATGCAGAACTGCCAAAAAATTAAAAGAATATAATTATCCAATAAGGACTATAGGATATCTATATTTAAAATTATTAAATACATGAAAGAAACCAAAACATGAGAAAAAATAAGGTCACCAGAACTAAATAAATCAGGGCATTTACGAAAAAAATCAACGCAAAACTTTTAGAAACAAAAAATTGGTCATTATTAAACACTCAATATACTGTAAAGGCTGAAAAAGCAGATTAAACAAGCTAAGGAGAAAGTGAATTTGAGGGTAGAAACAAAAAATTAATGAGAATGCAAAAATGCAACATACAGAAATTAGAATGGTGGAAATTTTATAAAAGAGAGATTAAGAAACAAAGGATAGGGGATCCAAGA